TCTGCAGTAGCAGCAACCCAAATCCCAATAACATTAATTGCAAACTGAGCTTCCTTTCACAGTCTAGTAGAAACTAGCTTTCTGGAACTAGGATCTGTGCAGACTTTGGTCCATTTAGCAAGGTCAGACTGTTTATTCTCGACCAAATTCTTTCCCACTGTAAAAAGGTACTCTTAAATGCCACATTCCACAGACAGCGCCAGTTAAGTCACTGAAGCATATTTTCCCACAAGAACTGATACAATGGATGGGCTTCTACTTCTTTAAAATTTCTACTGTTTATATTAACTTATGCAAGATAGCTTGTAATAAGAAATTATTTCAGGCTCTCCATGATTTTGTGGTGGTGAAGTTTTGAAATGGTGTATTTATTAACCACACCAGTGCAGTACAAATATAAGAAATGATATACTTTCAGGAAAGAAAAGACATTCATGATATATCTGGGCAGCAACAGTCTATTTAAACATTTTGTGGTATATGGCTTGTTTGTAATAAAGCAAATATTTAATAAAGGTGAATTGCAATGTATAGTTGTAAAATATTTTAATTATGTCATCGCTTCACTGTTTAAAATGTATTTTGTTTTCAAAGACTCAATGAAAATATGTAAGCAAATATTGAGGAAATACCGTAATATATTATGAAATGATGATGATCATGTGCTATATGGCAGTCATTACATTCAAATTCTACCATCTCAAGGCACCTTTCGGTGCAGTAAAGCCAAATGCTTTAGTGAGATGAGTTTCAGTATTCTGCATTGATATTATGCAATGACTGGTAGCACAATCATGTTGATGTATCATTTATCATATCATGTACAGTATGTTGTGTGCTGCTGTTTTTATGGTTTAGTTTGTTCTTTGGGTTTTTGTAAGCCGTCCAGAGACGTTTAGTAATGGGACAGCATATAAAAACATAAATAAATAAATAAAAAATCATTATACGCATTATATTTTATTACACTTTCCTTCTTATAATGCACAATAACTGAAACTCTGTGGGTGATTCACAACACCTCATAAAAAGCTGAACACTATTACAAATACAAACAGCATAAAACCTTCAATATGTAAAATTTAAAACAGAATTAATACTTTGTGCAGTTAAAAAAAAATCTGGATCAGCATAAAAAGCCCCCATATATCATGACATGCCAAAAGGATAACAGAACTGGTCCCAGGTAGGCCACAGTTGAGAAACTGTTCCAATATGTGTGTGGGGGTGGGACTGAGAAGACCCTCCCTTCCTTGTTGTCTCTTCTGAGCCTCTGTAGTATTTTTCCATTATTTCTTATGCAGTATAGAAAATGTTAAATTGGACACCCTTGATAAATTCAGCATTTTCTATGCTTATGCTATGTAAGTGTGTGTGTCTCTCTCTCTGTGTATATATATCTAAAACATTTTGAGGCTCCTTCTGTTTTGGAAATCTCAGCATGTCTTGCCATTAGTTTTACAGGTAATTTCTACAGGAATTAGAGCTTGATATTTCACTGAGATGGCACACAAACCTTTGAACAATTAGGTTGCTCAAGAGTTCCTACAAAGATGTCTCTAAAACTATTCATTTGCTTTGGATATCTGCTTTAAGATGTGAGTAAACTGTAAGGCAGCAGCAAAGCAAATCTGAGCTTTCAGTTGCTATTTTTTTAAGTTAGCACTGAATAGTTAAAAAAAGAAAAGAAAAGCCCAACAGCATGTATGATACTTCCTATAGTAAAGCTGTAATGGAACCGCCAGACTTTAATCAGATAATTTCACTGATTTTAATGAAGCTTATTTATTAAAGCTGATTTAATGAAGCTTATATGAATGGATATAATGTTGCCGCCTAATTACCCATATTGCAAATCTGTTATTAATACATAGCAAGTACAGATAAATTTCTGATTTTGCTTAGGAACTGAATAGGTATATTTTATTTTAAATTATATATTTATTATATAATGGAATAATATAACAAGGAAAACTTGCATGGTATCGAAACCTGTTTGCAATCCCCTGCATGTGTAGACAGAAAAAATCCTATATCTCCCAGCATTCCACAGCCAGAACAGCATACAGCATATCAGTTGTACTGGTTTCCAATTTGTTTCTATGCACAATTAAAGGTATAAATGACTAACTATAAAGCCCTAAATGATTTGGGACTAGGTTATCTGAAGAGCTGTCTTTTTCACAAAAATCTGTGCACATTTTACAATGACCTTGGAAGTCTTGTCCTGTGTGCCTTCAGAAGCACAGCTGCATGGAACATGAGGCAGTCTTCTCAACAGCAGCACCAAAGCTGTGAAAAACTCTTCAGTCCATTCCCTCCCTTTTAGCTTTTAATTTAAGTGAATGGTTAAGACATTCTTATTGGTCAGACTTTGAAATTGTTTAAACTTTGAATCCTGTTGTTAAAAACGGTTTTAATACTGTTTGGGATTTGTTTGTTTTTAACTCATATCTTGGGAGCTCATACAGCCAAAAGTTGATTATGAATTTTCTACACAAATTCCATCTAATATTGAAAACCTGTTCCATTTTTCCACATCTCAGGAGAAGCCCAAACGTTTAACACAGGGCTATCAATCCCTGGATTTCCTAGTTCAGAAATTGGTATTCTCTACGTATGCATGTGGCATTCAGAAGGATTGCAAATGACAACCAATATCCTCAGAAGGTTTACTTGCCTAAGGAACTGAATTAAGTATCAGAAATAAAAGGCCTTTAAGTTACCAGTGTGCTGCACCCAGTCAATTAGGGCTGGGTTGGGCTTTTAAAAAATTGCCTTACTCTAATAGAACAGAATGAGCCACAAAGTATTTCTTTTATGATCAGGAATAAGGATGTATTTGGGAATGAAATGATACTTCAAGAATTAATGGTTTGAGTTAAACTGGCTGTAAACAGCTGCCCTGCAGTAGGACATGGCATGGAATTCACCTGTGAACTGATCATAATGATATCCTGACAAGGGCTATTTTTAATTATTTCATTCTGTCCACTCTCACTAGCTCACGGAGTACTCAATCAGCAAATTGTTCACCCTCTCCACCAGAAGCAATTATTTTAAACCTTAGGGAAGAGAAGTTCAGCACTGAACTTCTTGAAGTAATTCATGAAGATGCTGAAGTCTCTTGTTTTGAAGTTTTTAATAAAAGTCTGGATGAGGACCTGCCAGGGAACCCTTAACTACAGAATGCTCTGCTATATGGGAGGACGTAGAAGTAGGTGACCTCCTCTGGAATTCTGTGAATGACTCACTGGGTTTGCAAGGTGTAAATTCAAGATTAGTTTACATCACCAGATAAACAGATTCTATTCTATGACAAATTTCCAAGTTGGGCAAAATCTCTGCACTAATTTGTAAACAACTGTAGGACTGACATAGCAAAAAAGGGCCCTTATAAATTTTGGAGTGCTGTGATCACAATTATTTTCCATACCATTATGCCCGCATGAACGTATTCATGGATGTGGCCTAGCTTTTTGAGAAGCAGGTTATGACTGTAGCCACTATTCTAATGGGCCCCTTTTTGAATAAAAAGGCTATACCATACTGATCTATTCTATTGTAATGCCTATTCTTGACTACTACAATAAACTTGACATGTGGCTGCCCTTAAAGATCACTAAGAACCTTCAGCTTCAGATCTGCTTCCAGGTTTCTGTCTTTGAACAGCCATTTTCTTGAGCTAGTTATGCTAAACCTCTCTTGCCCCTCCAATATGTCAGAAGTTCAAAGGTTAGGAAAGGGTTGAGTCTCCTCATGCTCAGAAGATAACCCAAATGAAAGTCTAAGTGGAACTCATGAAGTCCATCTGCAATTTTAATGCATACCTGAGTAACATAATTGTTCATAATGCTTAATTATCAAGTTCTCCTACTCTGATTCACTTTTCCCCCAACTTGAGGGTAGACAGACATTGATTACATATAAACCAATACCAACTGAGTGAAGCTCACCCAATCATTTTATCTGGCTGTAAGTGGTCAGGAAAACAAGCCCTGGTGCTACATTTCCCCTATTTTTTCCATGCATACTTTTTACCACTTGTTTGCTGGGCAGAGGTTACCACTATATACCACAAACATTTAAGATTGTTTCAGTCCTCCTTCTAAGCACAGTCTAGTTGTTACTGAACACAAAAGGGAAAAAAGTACTACTGAATGTATAGTCACATAGACTGCACATATCCTGGAGTATAACTAGTTTAATACAAGACACATAAAGGAAAATGCAGTGGTACCTCAGCTCAAACTTAATCCGTTCCATGATTCTGGTCACGACCCAAATTGGTCACGAGCCAAGTTAAATTTCCCCATAAGGTTCAATGTAAATAAGGTTAATCCATTCTGTAAATAATTTTTTAATCACAGAAATTTGAAACAAAGTAACAAAGAACAACCAAGTACAGTAGAGAAAACTAACCTAGGTGGGGGAGAGGTTATTGTTTGGAGGGAGAGTCCAAACCATAATCGTGCAATAGCGATCATGCTCAGAGGGGTCGTGCTCATGCAGGGAAGATGGGCACAATCACAATCGTGCTCATGCAGGGTAGATGGCAATGATCGTGATCGTCACCCAAGGTGGTGCTCATGAACTGAGGCAAAATTTTTCTGAAATTTCTGTTCGTGACCCAATTTGGTCGTGAACTGGGGTGTTCGTGAGCCGAGGTACGACTGTATAGAAAAGAATAATATACTGCAACTTCTCCTTTTCCACACAGCTTTGATCTATAATTCAGGCTATGATCCTATGAACATTTTTCTAGGAGTAAGCTCCACCAAACACACTAGACTTACTTCAGTGTAACATGGGCAGGGTTGTACTGTCAGATCCAGTAATCTGTATGAGTAATTTTCCCATCGCCTTAGTAACTGAGCTTGTTTCAGAGAAAGTCTAATACTTCACAAGTTGTCTAGGACATTTTTCTCTTTATTCTAAAACAACATTTATGCACAATCTGGAATCAAACTGAAAGAAAGCTAAAACACACAGAAACTTACCACAGAGGTAAGAGCCATTTGAAAACTGTAGATTCGTGCAAGGCCGAAGTCAGCTAATTTTATCTGCCCACTGCTGGTTACTAGAATGTTCTGTGGCTTCAGATCACGGTGGACCACTCTGTGTGAATGCAGAAAATCGAGCCCACGTAGAAGCTGAAACATCATGTCCTATGGATAAGCAACCAAGAGCATTGATGAGATGGTACAAAACAAGTATCACCTTTTATGCATAGTTTAAATATATCCCTTTATCTAAACTTAGTAAGAATTAACCCTGTGCAAGATGGGAGTTACTTCCTTGTAAACACATGTAGTGTGCTGTTTACCTACACATTTATGCAAATAGTCAATTACAGGTTGGATCCAATTTAATTTAGTTATAGTTAGGTTCTATTGAAATTTCAACTGACTTTTCATACTGGTTTTAATGAAAAGTGCAACTTTCTTATGATGGATCCAACTCATTATTTGTAAGTGGATAAATTTTAGCCTTGCCGATTGCCAACCAGTTCAGAAGGGGTGGCAGTGGTTTAGCTGGGCAGAGGCTGGTGCAGAGACACCAACCACTTTGCATTTTACGTTCTCTTCAGAATCTTAAAGATATTCTTATTTTGATTAGCGGGTGTCTAGATATTGCATGATGTTTTTCACAGAAAAAGGTGTAGGTAACAAAATGTTCAAGGCAGAACTTCATAAATTGACTGACTTTGTTCTGTGAAATCAGTGAAGTGAATCCCTGCAGGTGCAGATGCTCTTGTTCACAAACCACTAATGCTGAGTAATATGAGTGGGACTGCTGAAGTGTAAAATTACTTAACAGATATAAATTAAATGATCTGGGCTCCCAAACTGCCTAAATTAATTAATTAATTAATTAATATCTCACCTTTTTTTCTTTTAAATAACTGAAAGCAGCTTGCATCATTCTCCTCCTGCTCTCAATCTTATACCCACAACAACAACCCTGTGAGGTAGGTTGGGCTGAGAGTCTCAAAGTCACCCAGTTAGCTCCATGGCTCAGCGGGGACTAGAACCCAGATCACCTGAGTCCCAGTCCCACACTCTTAACCACGACACTGCACTGGCCCTCTTCACAAAGAACCTGTTGATGTCAATTTCATCTGGTTTGACATCCGTTCTGTGGTTTTCTGCTAGGGTTCTATGATTTGTGCACATGAGATAGACACAATTTTAATCATTATTTTCAGTTACTATTTTTTAGCTCCTATGGGCTTTTACAAATAGGGTTGTGGTTTTTTAGTCTGTTACACAACCACCACGCTCCCATCCCACTGAGTACTTTTCTAATTCACTCAATAATTAATGTTATCAGGATAACCAGTTTAAAAAAAACTAAAATGCCATTTGAAAACAATCAAACATATAAAATGCAATGTATATATTTTGGCTATGGGATGGGATAGAAATGTAATAAACAAACAAATACACAAACATTGAAAATAATAAAATAAATACAATAAACAGCAAACAACACAGTAATGAAAAAAGAAAACAGTCCTAATAGCGAAGGCCTCTAAAATTCCTAAAAGAAGTTTTTGCCTGGCATCAGATTACAGCGATGGTACTAGGAGAACCTCTCCAGGGAGCTTATTGCTGAGATATCCTCTCTTGTAGCCATCTGCCTAGGTTCTGTTGGCAAGGATACCAAGAGGAGGGTCTCTTAAGATGACCTAAGGGTCTCAGCACGTAGATGTAGGAGGAGATGTGCCTTTGGATACTTTGATCTCAAACCACTTACGGCTTTAAAAGAGCAATACTTTGAACTGGTCTTGGAAAGGGAATGGAAACCAGTGCAGCTGCAGCTCAATCATATGGTTGAGTCAGCCAGTCCCAGTTGGTAACCTAGCAGTCCTATTTTGTACTGACTGAAATTTCTGAACTGTCCTCAAAGATACTCCATGTACAACACATTGCAGTAATCCAATGAAGAGTTTCCAGACTGTGGTGAATCTCACCAGGCTACCAAGTAAGGCTGCAGCTGGAATATCAACCTAAGCTGATAAAAAGGCTAATGGGGCACAAATGACAGAGATGATTCCAGAAGCACCTGCAAGTTATATGCCCGATATTTCTGTAGGGGCAGAATCTCCTCTAAGGGCAGGTTGAACGAACAAAGAGTACTTCTATCTTGCCTGGATTGCACTTAAGTTTGTTGAGCCTTGTCCAGTTCAGTATCTTGCTCAGGCACCAGTTTAGGACTAGGGATGGAATCCATTTGGGAGCTCAATTTTCCTGACTCAGTCCTCTGGATTCTGTTGTATTTCCCCCATGCTAGCGCCAATTCAATTTCACACAGGCTGAGCCAGCACAATGCTTTCTGCTTTAAAAATGAGCCATGATTTGCATGAGTTTTTTTTTTAAAAATGTAAAAAATCAAAGCTGCACAAGTAGAACATCTTCATGGTGCTGACTTGATCTGATTGCCCTACCGCCATACCGTACTTTGCTGCTTAAAACCAAACCAAACCAGCAATATAATCATAAGCAAGTGAACAGTATAACCAATATTTGTCAGAATAAATACATTACTGAAAGAAATCAGATATTGTCTCACTAATATTGATGGGAAGAATGGGAGTGGGGTGCTAGTGGAATGGACTAAAATACCACAACCCAATTTGTAAAAGCCATGGGAGCTGAAAAATAGTAACTGAAAATAATGATTAAAAATGTGCCTGTCTCATGTGCACAAATCATAGAACCCTAGCAGAAAACCACAGAGCAGATATCAAAGTAGATGAAATTGACAGTGACAAGTTCTTTGTGAAGCAGCCAGTTAATGACAAAGTAGGGACAAGATGAAACCGACAATGTTGTTTACCAAGTGAATATATTGCACTCTGGATTACATAATGGACTTGCAAATATGATACAATATTAAAAACAGTACACACCCATTTTCTCAGAAGGCTTCATTTGTATGAATCACCATTTGCAGAAATTCTGCTACAAATATGTAGATCTCACTTTTCTATGTGCACAAGTATTGCATGTATATTTCCACACACTCACTCCTTTCTCCCCAAAATCAGCATGGTCCATTTCCATTCACTGGATCTAAAACACTACAGAAATCCCCTAGAAGTGAAATGAAATGGATTTCCCAGAATATCCAGAGCCTCCCCTGGGTCTGATGTAAAGGAGAGGTAGAGCCAGGGTGCCATAAGCCCCATCCCACAGTGCAAATTACTGAGTATTCATGTATGGAATTGCAGTATTTGCTAATTGATCTACCAGTTCAATTTGCATAGGAATGAAAGAAACACAGTTCTGAGACAAGAACCTTACTTTCTTTGTTTTTAGGCAATATAAACAGGTTAGCAAGCATTAGCTTAGAAGAGACATTCCCCCCATATAAAAAAAAAGAAAAGAAAAAAAGGGAGTAGTGTCTCTTTACTGCTGTAGTATTTGCATTAGATTTTTAAACATTTGTGCTGATTAATCAGAAGCATGTTTTAGTTGATAAAAATGTCTAACTAATTAATTGATTAAAAAGTACTGATTTTGTGGCATTAAGAGCAAGAATGAATATAACAGTAATTCACCAAGATCACTGGGTATGATCCAGCCTTTTTCTTAGACCACAGATACACTGGAATTGGTGGGAGTTAAATTATTCACAATTAATTTACATGTAATGACTAATTTTCAGCGGCTTTTATCTGGATATGATGATTCAACCCAGTCATTTTATTTCCAATTGCTCCATTAGATTAGGTGGTATCATTTGGATGGAATGGGAAACAAATCTTTTTGGCAATGTCTTGTCTGGTACACTTTTTAAAGGGATGGAGGATGTTCTTTAATTAGGAATTTCTGGTTATTCAAACAAGAAAAAGATGTGATACAACTGGTAAGAACCACCATGTCTCTTTCCATCTCCTTCTCACTCTGACGTCCTCCTTCTCAATGTCTCGAGCGGCATGTCGTGAGTGGAGCCAGCTGGTGCTGGAGGTCAGACTAGATGGCCCTGGAGACCCCTTCTGACTCGCTCTGTTTCTATGTCTTTCCTTCAAGTGAGCAAATATGCTTTTTTTCTTTACATTGATTAAACAGAGGAAGGGACTGCCTAGAAATTTAGGAAGTAAAATCATACCATTAAAAGCATACTTCATGAAAAGATGTAGGGACTTTTTGCTAGATCTAATGTTCTGGCTTCATACACTTTGCCCCATAAACCCATTTCTGCCAACCTTTGTAATAGGGGTGTTAACACGTATGCTTTGAAGGCTGCTTTCACATTATGACATTCCTACATAGAAGACTATTGTGCTTAACGTTTAAAAAGCAGCCCCTGGGGACCAATTGTCTTGATTCAAATTTACAGATCTCTAAATACAAAGAATTAAGCTATCCAAATCAACTCCACAAATTCACTGCCGATCACTTTCTCAGAATAGCAATATTTTGGAAAATGATTCTCCCTTTTGTTTGTGCACTTATCTGTATATATTAACTATTAAACTGCCACTAATCCTTACTCCCCCAAAATGCAAAATGCAATCACAGCAAATGCTGCTGTTACCGCGATTAACCAGGACCCAGACCGCTAAATGCAGTTGCTGGGCAAAAACTGTTCTAGCTTTAGCAAGCCCAACTATCCCATGTTTTGCAGCTAGAATGCCAGCTATTCTAATGCCATGGCAACTTTTGAGATAATGCCAGGCCTGTTTCAAATCTCTGACCTGAACTCTTCCATAATTTTAAATGGCCATCTTTTAACAGAAATGGTTATCACTTTTATTCTTTTGTATTTCCTTGATTTTTCTCTGCAGTCCATGCACTTTCCCTCACCAGCAATAATAAATGAATGGATGAATCCCAGCTTCTACCTATGACAAGTTTTTCTCTTTTGCAGAAAACAGATTGCCTTTCCTGAAAGGAGTTCAGCATAGTATGCATGGTTCTTTCTCTGTCCCATATATTCTTACAACCCTGTGAGGTGGTTAGTTTGAAACAGTGATTGAACCAAGATGGCCATAATTGTGGAAAAGAGATTTAGCACTTATGGGGGTAACTGGAAATGAATGAAAACATTTATTTCTAGAATAGAATAGGTCAGTGGAGTGTGAATAATGGAGCTCCACTGACCTGTTCCAATCCAGAAGTAACCATCTGTTTTAGGACTTCTTTTAGGAATATTTAAT